ATTGCTTGCTACCCCCCTCCATTTTCCACTTCACTATAAAATCTCTTTTATGTGAGAATATTTTCCCCATTCTACCTATCCCTTCCCCCTTCTACCAATGCATTGCTCTTTCTCACCTCTACATTTTTTTTTTAGCAGGGGTCATTTCAACATAATTTCCTTATACCCATGCCCTTTCTGCAGACTCCTTCTAACTGCCGTGATAATGATAAAGTTCTTAGGAGTTACATGAGTCCTCTTCCCATATAAGAATGTAAACTGCTTAACTTTGAGTCTAATGATTACTCTTTCATAACTTTTTATGCTTCTTTTAAGTCTCCTGTTTGAATGTCAAATTTTCTATTCAGCTCTATTCTTTGGAAATCCACTATTTCATTAAATATCCATTTAGTTATGCTTGGTGGATTATTCTTGCTCCTTTATTTCAAGCACTCTGTTCCTTTAACGTGGAAGCTGCTAAATTTTGTGTGATCCTGACTGTAGCTCAATGATATTGCATTTTTTCTTTCAGGCTGCTTGCAATATTTTCTCCTTGACCCGGGAGCTCTGAAATTTGGTTATAACATTCCTGGGAGTTTTCATTTTGGGATCTCTTTCAGGAGGTGATTGTAGATTCTTTCAATTTATATTTTACTTTCTGGACTTAAGATATAGGGGCAGTTTTCCTCTAAAATTTCTTGATATATGAAATCTTGGCTCTTTTTTTACATTGTGACTTTCAAGTAGTCCAATAATTTTTTTAGTTTACACTTAACTTTTATTTTATTTTTTTTCCTCAATCAGATGTAAACAAAAATTTTTAAAAATTTTTTAAAAAATATTGAGTTCCATATTCCTTCCCTCCCTCCTTCTCCTCTCCCCTCTGTGAGAAGGTAAGTAATTTGACAGTGCAGTCATACAATATATTTCCATATTAGCCATGTTACAAAAGAAAAGAAAGACAAAAAAACACCCAACCCAAGAACAATAAAGTTTAAAAAGCATTTTTCAATCTCCACTCAGGCACCATCAGTTCTTTCTCTGGAGGCAGATAGCATTTTTTATCATAGATTGATCAATGTACAATATTGCTGTTACTGTGTACAATGTTCTCTTGGTTCTGCTCACTTCACTTTGCATCAGTTCATGTGGTTCCAGGGTTTTCTGAGAGCATTCTGCTCATCATTTCAATAATTTTTAAATTATCTTTCCCAATTTATTTGCCAGGTCAGTTGTTTTTCCATTAAGATATTTTACATTTTCTCCTATATTTCATTCTTTTGACTTTGTTTTATTATTTCTTGAAGTTTCATGGAGTCATTAGCTTCTATTTTCCCAATTCTAATTTTTAAGGAATTATTTTATTTTCTTCAGTAAGCTTTTGTACCTCTTCTTCCATTTGGCCAACCATGCTTTTTAAGTAATTCTTTTTCTTCTGCGACTTTTTGTGCTTTTTTTTAACCATTAGGCCAATTGTGTTTTGTCTCTTTGTTTGTTTTTTGGTGAGGTAATTGGGGTTAAGTGATTTGCCCAGATTCACACAGCTAGTGAGTGTTATGTGTCTAAGGCCAAATTTGAACTCAGGTCCTCCTGACTCCGGGGCTGGTGCTCTATCCACCATGTCACCTAGGTGCTCCCCTCCCTTTTTTTTTTCCAATTCTGTTTTTTAAGGTGTTATTTTCTTCAGTATTTTTTGTGCTTCTTTTACCAAACTGTTGATGATCTTTTTATAATTTTCTTGCATCACACTCTTTTCCCAGTTTTTCCTTTGCCACTCTTATCTCTTTCTTTAACTCTTTCAGGAATTCTTCCTGGCCTTGGATGCAATTAGCATTTTTCTTTGAAGTGTTTTTTTGTAGCTGTTTTCACATTGTCGTCTTCTAAATTTGTGTCTTGGTTTTCTCTGCCTTCCTAGTAGCTTTTGATGGGCAAGTTCTTTTTGTTGTTGTTGTTGTTGTTGTTGTTAACTCATTTCCCCAGCCTATTTCTTCACTTTGAACTTTATGTTAAAGTTGGGCTCTGCTCACCTAGGGGTGGGGAGGCACTGTGCCAAGCTTCAGGCTTTTTTGTGCTGCTGTTTTCATAACTAGTTTGGAGGCGGGGGGCGGTCTTTAAGTTTTCAGTGTTTCCAAGATATTATCATTGCTCTCCTAGTCTTTGTTGTGATTTTTAGTCAGGAAGAGGCCCTGCTCCTCTGTAGCCACAAGTACTAGTACTTCTCTTGGTCCTTTGTTACCAGGTCCTCTGTTTTCCTGAAGCCTCAAGTGTTCCTCTCCACTCTAGAACCGTAACCAGGGTCCCTGCTCTCTTGTGATCAATGACAAGTACACCTCTCCACCCTGGAACTGCAACTCAGAACTGCTTACATATATACCATATATATACCATATATGTGTGTGTGTGTGTGTGTGTGTATACACACACACCATATATATATATACACCATATATATATATACACACCATATATATACACATATATACCATATATATGTATACGTGTGTATGTGTGTGTATATATATATATATATATAGATAGATAGATAGATAGATAGATAGATAGATATAGATATATATATATACCCCCTTACCCTCTTTGGGATGAGAGCTCTTGAAGCTGCTGCTACTACTATTTTGCTGTTGCAACCACCTCCAAGGCTACTTCTACTGCACTCTAGGACTGCACCCACCTGAATGTTATAGACCTTTCCTGCAGACCTCCTAAGTTGTCTTAAGCTGAAAAAAAATCTCCCTTTTGCCTTTAGTTGGATTTGTTGCTCCAAAATTTGATTCGAGACATTGTTTTAAAATTATTTGGAGGGGAATGTTGGGAGAGTTCAGCTGGGTCCAGGCCTGTATGCCACCATCTTGGCTCTGCCTCTAAGTAGTATTTTTTTTTTTTTAAAGAAGATCCATATAGAAGATAATTGAAGAAAAGTAAGTTGTGCCATTAACAACTTGCTCATAGAACATGCAAGGAAGGTCCTATATAATTGGTTCCTTTAGCTCTACACCTCCTGAATCATTGCTTCTGTCTAACCTTGGTAAAACAATGGAATGAAAGTTAGATATTACTTTAAGAGGAAAGGACAGCTAGAAGGCTGCTAAATCACATTGCATTCATGGAATATGTCTTTGTATGGGGTAAGCAATGGACAATTTCACCCACCATCATCATGTCCTCCTTCCTCCCACTATACCCCCACCCCTGCAAAACAAAACAAAACAAAAACCTGCCAAAAACTACAATGAAACAACTACAATGAAAAACTACAATGAAACTTTTTTACTTTATATTAATTCTCACTTTTAATTTTATACTCATTCTCATAATAAACTCGTAACACTAAAAATTATAATGCTATGTAAAAAGACTGCATAACTGCCCTTATTTTACAGATGAAGAAGTTGAGGGAAAAGATGGAATGACTTGCTTAGGATACACTTAGCTAATAAGAGGACAAGACTAACTCCAAAGTCTCCTGACCCCTAAAGAAGGCTTCTTTCCATGGAGATAACGAAGACAGAGAGAAAAAAGAAGTAACACAGCAAAATATACATGAAGTATGAAAGAGAAAATAATATGAAAAAATAAGCAAGCAAAAATACTAAAACAGAACAACAGAAATGATGGTGATACAGCTAGTTTACAGCATAGGTAGACTGTACATATTCAATAAATACTCATTGGTCAATTAATGGTCACCTGCTCTGCCAGCTATCTTGGTCAGGACAGGGGATGACATTTAAGAAAACTCAGGATGCTTTTAGTCAAGAGAATCTTGATAGGAAACTTACCTAATGAGTTTAAGAAACCAAGAAAAAAGGAAACAATAAGAAATTACCAAATCTGTGAAGAAGTCACACAGCATTGCAGGTAACATTCTTCCATGAAAATTGTCTTTTTGCGATTATCTTATTCTCATCTTCAACTCAGAAGCAGAGATATTCTGATTAAGTTAATAAATTCTTCAGCTATTACGAATCTAATATTCTTTTTTTTTCTGGTGAGGCAATTAGGGTTAAGTGACTTGCCCAGAGTCACACAGCTAGTAAGTGTTAAGTGTCTGAGGCCAGATTTGAACTCAGGTCCTCCTGACTCCAAGGACAAAGCTCTATCTACTGCACCACCTAGCTGCCCCAAAAGCAGATATACATATACATGCGCGCGCACACACACACACACACACACACACATATATGTATAGGTATATATAGGTGTATATATATATATATATATTTTTTTTGGTGAGGCAATGGGGGTTAAGTGATTTGCTCAGGGTAACACAGCTAGTAAGTATCAAATGTCTGAGGTCAAATTTGAACTCAGGTCCTCCTGACTCCAAGGATGGAGCTCTATCTACTGTACCACCTAGCTGCCCCAAAAGCTGATATACATATACATATACATATATAGGTGTGTATATATATTTATATGTGTGTGTGTGTGTGCGTGTGCGCGTATATACATACATATATACATATATACATATATACACACACACACACATACATATATATATATTTTTTTTGGGGGGGGGTGAGGCAATGGGGGTTAAGTGACTTGCCCAGGGTGACACAGCTAGTAGGTGTCAAGTGTCTGGGGCCAGATTTGAACTCAGGTACTCCTGACTCCAAGGATGGAACTCTATCCACTGTGCCACCTAGCTGCCCCAAATCTGTTATTCTTTATTGACTACTTTAAATCTCCTTAGTTATTTTATCATTGCACCCAGAAAACAAGACATTTTAGCAACACACAAATTATACTTGCAAAAATTTCTCAATCATGATTAAAAAAAAACAAAATACTAGTAGGAGAAAAGTTCTATTTTCAAAGAAAATGTAATCTCAAAGCTCCTTGTTACTATAGTAATTTGAGTCCTTAAGTGTTCAGCATAAAGTATAGCTTTATGAATTAACTAACAAGAGGCAATGTTCCAGAGCGTAGTGAAAAATCACTTCATCTAGATCGTTACTACTCCGTGGATCAAAGACTTTACTTTTTTAAAAAGTGGATACCTGCGGTCCATCTCTGGCTTCATAGAAGTCACCCACTCTTATTTTTGCACTGAAGCTGAAATTGTCCCTTGAGATATCCATTATTCCATTTCTGCTGAGATACTGAAAAAATCACATATTTTTCCACTTCAGGTTTTAATAATTACAACTCAGCTTTGATGTATGTACAGCTATCTTCAGGAGTCATGTTTTGCATATTCTATCAAGGGGATATGCAATTATAAGTGGTCAATTTAGAAATACGTTAAGGTAGATTAGACTCACATGAGAGGATAATTTTGTATCAAGGAACTTTATTTGAGGAATGAGTACACATCATTTTGTTGTAAGTGTGCTTAATAGATACTGAATATACTAGCCATTTAAAGAAAAGTACATACCTTTATTACTTCAGGATACTGTCTAAGTTTCTTTCCACATGGAGCATAATATGCTACTTCTCCTTGTAGGCGCCCTCCAAAGTTCCTTATTCGTGTCTCCCTTTGCCAGCTTCATGTAACAGAAATACAGGTTATGAAAGAGCTCATTTAGAACAATATTTCAATATTTTAAGTCATTAAAAGTTAAACTGATATTTAATTTATAAATAGTAATCTGCCTAATTACTACAGTTGTAGCAACTAATACCTTTCAATGCCTCAGCTTCCTAGAGATAAGGTATGCTATTTTACACTTGAAGTTTCAATGTCAAGAGAGAAAAATTTACCTCTCAGCTATCATTTCTCTGTAGCTCATGTACTTTAAAAAAATTTATTTTCAGGTACAAATTCTTTCCCTCCCTCTACCCCTTCCCCTACCCATTCAGAAGGCAAAAAATTCAATACCCCTTATACATATGAAGTCACGTAAAATACATTTACACATTAGCCATATGTGGGGGAAAAAAAGAAGCAAGAAAAATAAAGAAAAAAAATCCTTCAATCTGTACTCAGAACCTATCATTTCTCCATCTGGAGGTGGACAAAATTTTTCAACATGAGTCCTTTGGAATTGTCCTGGATCATTGTATTGATCAGTTAGCTCATGTATTTTTTAATAATGAGTTGATATTATATCTCAATCCCACTCTAACCATTACAATTTGGTTCTGTTTTGTCACTAAGTTCCATTCACTGTGGTGTCCTAATTTTGCTTTTAACTCTCCCCTTACTCTTCCTGGTACTACTTTCTTGAGATTCTGCCCTCAGCCATATTTACTAATTTTCAGCTCACTGTATTGTTCCATGTTTATTCATGCTTGACTCTACATATCCTACAGTTTACTTCCAATATGAACTTTGTAGAACACTAGCATTTCTATTCTAATACTTTTTGGATATATTAACTGTGCTCCCTGACATCTCTAATTCAATATGTAAAACCTTTTTATTTCTTTTAGCCAACGAGCAAGAAAAAGAAAGTAGGCATAATGCTTTTGAAACAGTATTTTAAATAAATATTTGGGGGAAAAAAAGAGCAAGCTCATTAAGCATACCCATATTCCAAAGGAATGCGAAGTTCCCGCTCATCTGTTACTCTCCTCCTTTTGGAAGTACCTTGGAGAAAGTTCAACTGATTAATATAAGAAAAAGTTTAGAGAAAGGTCAACAATTAAAAATTTTAAAACTTTTGTGAAATATTTTCTCTCTGTTTTGTCAATTTGGAAAAAGTACAATTTTGTTATGTTATTTCATTACTTTTACATAGGTTTCATGGAATCCTTGTATAGCAAAGTTTTTCAAAATGAGCAAATCATCTGTTAGGGCTGCATTCAAGAGGATTCTTTGAAAAATTTGAGAAACTGGAAGAAATGACCTATAAGATTCCTTTTGACTCGAAGAGAGTGTGATTCTACCATTACTCTCCAGAAAGAGAAACAGAATACAACCTAAAGAATGTACCGGTTTCTCCTATTTAGTCTGCTATGGAAGAAATCACTGAGACAGGATGCAGGACATATTAAGCAACATGAAAATGTCTAAATTGAGAATAGATTATAGAGTAACTTTTTACCTAAGACATTAGTATTTGGTTTTTTCAAATCCAATAGTTTAATGTACAAATATTTTAAAAGTAGGTCCACAAAGTTAAAGACATTTAATTTAAGTCACATGGATCTAAGATCAAAAGCAGCATAATAGGGCCCTGTCTTATAAAATGGAAAGGGATATGATTATATGGACAATTGTTATCACTTTAGGTAACTGGCTCTATTTCTGTCTATTATATATATGTGTGTGTACACACCCACATATATACATCCACACACACACACACACACACACACACACCTACAGAAAAATCAGAGCCTTTTCCAATTAGCTGGTGGGTTGGCCAACTGAATCTCAAGTAACAATTCAAATTCACCTTTAAAAATATAAAAAATCTGAATCTATAATAAATTCTATGACAGTAGAAACTCTACAGTTACTAAAAGCTAAAGCAAGAGAGGAAGAATGTTCACATTCTTAAATTAAGTGCATCACATGGTAAAAGTTCTTAACTTTAGAGAATAAGTAGTCTCGACCTGAACTAGCCAACACTTACCCAGGTACAACATTTTATTCCACTGAGATAATCTTTAGAACATTTTTTACAAATAAATATTCTTGCCTCAGTTTTGACACTGTATTTTACAATGATAAAAATAAAATTTAAGTACCACAGTGTGGACTTGAAGTAAGTGTAGAAGAAGGAGTGCTGAGGAAAACGGGTGACTGGGATTCAGGACATAAGGCAGCAGGACCAGAGCCTGGAGGTTTGGCTACTTGGAGATTAAGTGGTGTTGAGTGAGCCGTGAGACTGACGGAAGAGCTTTTGACAGAGGAAGTTGTTTTATTCAATTGCATTGGGGGTTTCTCTCCTTCAGTATCACTATCTGATTCATCTTGATCCTTATCATCCTCGTCATCATCATCTTCTGATCCTTCTGTATCGGATTCAGAATTACTATCTGATTCTACAAAGGGGGAAAAGAAAAGCAATTGTAGATTATAGCAGGCCCATGATCTCCAGATTCCAGCTTGGCCATTCTCATAGCAAATGAAATGTTTGAATAGCCAGCATTTGTGGGAAAGAAACTAGCATTTATGGATGTTTGCCATGCAAAATTGCTTAGTTTAGTGCACAGCACAGTCCCTAGAGCATGTAAGAGACGTTATATAAATGTGTACTCTCTCCCTTTACCCCTCTAGCATTTAAAATCATACTCTATTGTTGTTCAGTCATTCAGTCATGTCAAACTCTTTGTGACCCCATGGACTATAGCATGTCAATATTGTCTACAGGTTTTCTTGGCAAAGACACTGGAATGGTGTGCCATTTCCTTTTCCAGTAGATTAAGGCAAACAGAGGTTAAGTGACTTGCCCAGAGTCACACAGCTAATTAAGTGTCTAAGGCTGGATTTGAACTTGGTCTTCTGGACTCCAGGCACAGTGCTCTATTCATTGAGCCACCCAGCTGCCAAAATTGTACTATTATGGTCTATTCGATAATATAATTAACAGCAACAATAATAGCTAGCATTTATGAAGCACTTCAAGATTTGCAAATGGTTTTACAAATATTTGTCTTATTTTAACTTCACAATAATCCTGGGAGGTAGATGCTTTTATTATCCCCATTTTACAGATGCAGAAACTGAGGCAGACAGTGTGTAAGTGACGTGCCCAATGTCACACAGCTAGAAATTATCTGAGGCAGCATTGAAATTCGGGTCTTCCTGACTACAGGTCTGGTGATCTGTCCACTACACCAACTCACTGCTGGTGTTTTCAGTGTAAAACTTAAATAGCCACATTTAAAATATTATTAATATTATTTAGTTTTTAAAACAACACATTTCCTTTTCATATTGCACTTTACATATGATAAACTCAGATTACAGAGTGCAAAGTCATTTTAGTTCAATGAAGAAACTGAGGCACAGAAACATCGATAGTCAAATGAATGGAAAGTGTCTCAATCACATGGTAAACTAATAAAAGCAGATGGTTTACACAAGTAAATTTGTGAAACTATCTGTTAGATTTTCATAGAAGTTTGTGCTCATGGATAAGTTCTGATTAAATTTAATTGATGCTGAGCCACTGGTTTTTGGTTTTTCTTTTTTTAATCTTAGTGATATGATGAACAGTCTTGGAAAGGGAGGAGATAGTAACTAATGATTATTCCTAGATGCAGTGTAAAATATTTTTGTGTTTATTTTGTTTTGTGTGGATATATGCATGAGGTGAATCAATTTGCAGGTTAATTTGCCCAATGTCAACTCAATGACAAAGCTGAAGATAAAATTGATACATCAGGAAGGTGTTTTCTAGCAGTAATACTTTTCGGAGTTATATAAGATTAAAAATACACTGATATCTAGAAATATGAATGACAAAACATTTATAGTGATTTACAACTGTGAGCTTTGTCAAGTTAAAAGACTCTGGAAAATATTTTCATTCACAGAGCTGTCACAGTAAAACTTTCAATCATTTAAAAATAGAAAATAACCTGATTGGCTGTCATCAGAATCATCATCTTCATCATCTTCATCATCATCCTCTTCATCCTCATCATCCTCATCATCCTCATCATTGGAGTCATCAGAGTCTTTACTACTGGGAATGTCTGAATCTGTTCCTCTAAACTGTTCCACTATGGATTTTGCAGAAGGAAGGTGATGCTGTGGATTTACTGTGGTTATAACATTATTGCTGACTGATTTTTCCTTCCCTGGACCATGTAGTACAGGAGAGGTAGAGGACATTAGAGGGGTCCGATTGCCTGATGTTTTTCTTCCACATGTACTTAAATTTACAGGTGAAGAAAAAGGGATATTACTCGAAGTAGGTACATTTTCATTTATCTTGCTTTGACTTTTACTTTTGGTGATAAGTGCTAAAGGAGCTTCTTGGATGACACTTTGAATAACTCCATTTGGTTGGTGATTACCTAAAAGTGCATTTGTCAAGAATGGATTAGAATGATTATTTTCTAATGTTGTTTGTTTGGGATGCGCTGGTGAGCTAGAGATTGCTTTTGGGCTTGACAAAGCTGCAATAACCTTCTTCAGGCTCTTGGATGACTCTTGTTTCTTTATCTGTGTTGGGAATGTCTGTTTGAACTGTTCCTGTTGAAACATAAAAAGTCAATACTGCAATGTACCACACCTCTTCCTATCAAGAAATTTTTTGTTTTTTTTTCCCCTTAAGTATTTGAGAATTAGAAATGCATATGTGGCAACATGTAAATCACTTTAAAGCAAAGTATAGTGGGATATAGAGATGGGTCTAGAGCTGAAGTTGGCCTTCTCAACAGTCCTTTCCTACTGTCTTTGTCCAGACTTGACATCTTAAATTCTACTCCTTAGAAACCCTATCTAGTCATCAAATCTTCTACCATTTTTTTCTTTCACATTTTCCCTCTGAATCCATTTTTCCTTCTCATACCCACTGTAAACTCTCTGGTTTAGAGCCTCATTGTCTCACAACCAAACTACTTCATAACCTTTTAACTAGTCTTTCTACTATCTACTTCAAGTCTCACTCTTTTAGCTAACTTCTATATTGTGCTTTAAGGTTTTCAAAATGCTTTGTGTAAGTAATTTATATCAGAGGCAGCGAGGTGGCTCAACAGATGGAGTGCTGGACCTGGAGTCAGGAAGACTTGAGTTCAAATCCTACCTCTACTACCTATACTTTATAGCTACGTAACCCTGGGCAAGCCACTTAGCCTGTATCTGCCTCAATTTTCTCAAATATAAAGTGAGGATAACAACAACTCCTACTGTTTGGAGTTGGAAAGAAAAATGAGATAATTGTAAAATGCTTTGCAAACCTTAAAGTACTATATACATTCTAGCTCTATAAAAGCTAGCTGTCTCTTTAGATCTTCACAACAATCCTGTGAGGTGACTATTACAGATACTATTATCTCTGTAACAAACCGAAGACCATGGAGATTGAATGGTTTACCCATGTTAAGAGGTAACATTCAGGCTGAAGTCCCTCTGGCACTTTCCACTTGCCAGATGAATCCTCTTGCAGACCTGCTCTAACCATGTCATGCCCATGATGAAAAAAATCTTCCAGTTATTCATTCTGCCTAGCAAAATACTCTTTATTCTGTCATTCAAGGCCCTTTTACCATCTAGCCCTCATTTACCCTTCCATATCTATGCTTTATATTTAAGCAAAATGTGATCACTTGTTATTCTCCATCCATTTCTTCTAGAATTTTTGCAGTTGTTCAGACCATTCCTTCCCTGTGGAGAGAACCATCTACCATTTGAAATATCACCCATTCTTCTAGGCACAGTTCAAATGTCATCTTCCATGAAACCTTTTCTGATAACCCAAAAGAGAAGCACTATCTTCTCATCTGCACTCATATGCCTCAATTACTCATAGTACTCCTTTTATTTGTTATTTGCCACATACTGCAAGTAATTTAACTGTACTAACTGATGTATCTGTCATCTCTTTTATGAGAGAGAAAACTTCCTGAGGGAAGGAACTAAGCCCCATTATTTTTCTATCCAACCAGAGCACCTTATGTAATGCACACCCTTAATACACAGTCAATAAATATTTGTGACAGGTTGGAAGCAAGAGGGACAAATGTGCTTAGAAGAGAAATTTAAGATAATTAGCTAGATTAAGTAGTGGGACATGTCACTCTATCTACTCAATAATGTACCCTTACAAAAAATTTTCTGTGAATTGGTAAGGGTATGGGGAATCAGTAATTATAACTGTACCAAGCAATTTACTTCTGTAAATGAGGGGGATAAACACTATTAGCACTAGAGGATCTCTCTGGTACAAGTAAAACAAATAAAATTTCATTAAACCATCATCAAAAGAATATATGAAAAATTTAATTCCCAAATGGAATTATTAATACATTTTAGATCTAAAGAAGAGCTTGAATTTCCTAAGTTAAATTCTTCCTGCAAAGATGAAGATAGCTTTGATATGGAAAAAAGTACGTAACATAACTAAAATCTTATGATACTGTAGTCAGTTATGAATCATGCCCAGGCACCTGACTCAGATTGGCACGGTGGCAAATTTGAGCATGTGGTATGACTTGACTTGATTTTGCAATGAACTTTTACATAATAAACAGTAGTACGGAGAAGCAACCAGAGGCTCTTGTCTAATTTCTTTAGCAATTAACAAGCCTGCTTCCACATGGAGCTGTGGAGATTAAGAAAAAAGCAAATAACTTGCATGACTATAGAATGAGTGAGGTGACAAACCACTGCTTTTCAAACTCAGAATTTTAGTTTGGGCTTAAACTCTTAATTGAAAAAAATCTGTTCATTTTATTACTATATCATAAGAACCTTTATGTCAGAAAGATGTCTTTGAATCCCTCATTGTATCTATTATCATGTCTTAAATGTAGGAAGTAGGGGCTCAATAAATATTTATTAAATAATGAATAAATTAACAAACAAGCATAATTTGGAGATAGTATTAAATGGTTAAGGATGGCTAATATTAGTTTCCTATATGAGAATTCCTACTGGTTAAAATTCTTTACATTTCTGACCTTCATTTTTCAAAAAATATTTAAGCAGAATGTATCTTTTGCTGATTCTCAGAATACAGAGGTTTATCTGAACATTTTTTGTGTCCATATTGTCTTCACTCTATTTAATACATCCCTAGCACAACATATATATTAAGTTTCTCTTTATATGCTGTAAAAGGAAGCAATGAAATAGAATTTTTTAGTGTTTCCTTAAATCAAAGATTTATGATTTATCATAAAACTTTTTTCCCTTAAATCAAATTTTTTTTAAATGTTTAAAATTTTTCTTCAATCTACAAAATAATTTTTGTCTGTAACGTCTGTGACGAAAAATTCCAATAATTGAAAGCAAGTTACATATTAAACAGTTCAAAAGACATTTCATCTGCTACAATTTCAGTCTCAAGATTAAACATAAAATCCAGTAATTTCTGCTTACCCGTTTGGATCTCAATTCACTGGTCAAAGGGCTAGATTCTTCAGAGGTATTTTTATTCCCTGCTTTGGGTATATCAGGAGAAGGAACTTCGAGTTTCACGTAAGTTTCCTTTTTGGCTTGATTTACCAAAGACAGAGGTTTCACATTGGACACCAATCCCGTAGACTGTATCACACTGGTGTGTTTGTTCACAGATCCCTCCTTTGCCTGAGAGCTTTGGAAAATAAAGGGAAGCCGCTGTGACAAAACCTGAGGCTGCTTCTGCTGGGATTGGAGTGAGGGGTGAGTCTGAGATTCAGACACAAGAGGTATCGGCTGGTGTATTCTTTTTTCTTGGGACTTTTCAGCTGCTTTTTGTCCATCTGACTTTAGGTCCACCATGCCATGCAATAGCACCTGGAAGGAAATGTTTTTTTAAATTTTTTAACATCTGCAGAACATCGACCATAAGGTAATCACATAAAATATGACAGAATAGAAGAAGTTTTTTTTTTTTTAAATTCTAATTATCAAATGAAAAAGCTATAAAAATATTTCACAAAAAGTTCACAGTTCTCTTGTTTATATGTTTTCTACCCAAACTCCTATTCTTTTCTACTTGAAAAAACTGCAGCTCCTAGGAATGGAGAAAAGAATAGGGAGAAAGGAAGGAGGGAGGGAGAAAGTCCTGTGTCTCAATCTGTAATCAAATCCCCATGGGGAACCTTGCTCCTCCTAGGTGGATCCAAATTTTGTAAATTCACCTACAGGCTCAAAGAATTGCCTAGAGCAGGGGTACTTCGGGTTAAGTGACTTGCCCATCCTCACACAGATAGCATATTTAAGAGGCAGGACTTTAACCCAGGTATTCCTAACTCCAAGATTGGACCTCTATTCACTATTCCATGTTGCCTCTTCCTATGTAGTAGATGATAAAAATAAGGGAGGAAATTTTATTTTAAAAACAATATTTGTATGATTGATTCACAGTAAACATAAATCTGTTAATTTAAAATCAAAAGTATCCAAGTCTAGTTATGGTGGTTATACCTTGGTTTTATTTTTATGTTGTGCTTCGCTTTCGGAATCAGAATCATCATCTTCACTTTCTTCAACAGTTTGGTCTTCTTCCTCTTCATCTTCCTCTAAATCATCCGAGTCACTGCTACTGATGCCTTCACTTGAGGTGTCTGAGGATGTGCCCGAGTCACTGTCACTGTTGCTTGAACTTTCCATGGCTTTCTTTCTTGGTTTCTGGGAAAAGTCAGACATTTTATCGAGACTTTGTTTTTAAAATGGAATCCAATTTTTAGCACATAAATATGCTTTCAAATGATGTTTCATTCTTGAAATGAAAGAAGAAAAGAAATTTCACAAGTGATAAATGTAATCATTTTAACAAACTGATCCAACTGAACTTTACAGAATGGGAAACCCTCAATCTAGCCTGTAATAGCTAGCCCATATAGGATATTAGAAAAGAGCAGTATCAATGACACATTTCTAGGTTTCTACTTATGTTCCTGAAACAAAAAAAAAAGTGAAGTTGTGTATTGTTTGATGGATATGCAAGACAAACTTACAAATGAACACTTTGAAATGTATTTAAGTGTTAATTTCTTTAAGGTAATTTGTGTTTTGAATATATTAAAATTACAAATTCAGTTCCATTTCATCTTCTGTGCAAAGGATAACAATTGGTTGAGGAGGCTAAGAGCTTAGATAACAGAGGCTCTTAGGACTGCTAAAATTAGGTAAATGCTCTATTCTTCTAGTACAGTGGTGTGCAACTGTGTTTAATCCCCATACGCTTTCGCTTGCTACATCATCTATTCAATATGAAAGGCAATAAATGATTGACCAGGCATAGGCACATTAGAAGCAAAGATGCTAATAATTTTTTCATAAAGAAAATATTATTCATTACATAATAATATTGTAGTATCATAACATTGTTCAATGTATATAAAAATAGTCAAATAAAAAGTTTTTGAAAGAAATGCCTATCATGTTTCATCTCCAACTTTTTTCTTGCTTTTGATTTGATTGGGAACAGAGATGAGCATCCTGATTCACAGAGTTGTTATTATAAATGGAATTCAATCCTTGTTAGCATATTTAATAAGAATGGGATATGCTTCTCCAAGGACATAACAAAAAAAAAATTTTTAACTTTATTGTTGGGGGCAGCTAGGTGGTGCAGTGAATAGAGCACCAGCCCTGGATTCAGGATGACCTGAGTTCAAATCTGGCCTCAGACACATAACACTTACTAGCTGTGTGACCCTGGGAACCCCATTGCCTAGTCAAAAAATAAAAAACAATAAAAAAAAAACTTTATCGTTTGGAAAACAGTCCCAAAAAACAAATTTATTTCCTTACTCCCTTGACAAATTTTTTGTACCCCTTACGGGTTTGGACCCCTGATCTAACAAGACAGAGTATTTGTCCTCTAAAGGATATTCAATAGCATAGCATCTAGAAAAAATTCACTGAAGCCAACTCTGCCATGGCTTTTAGGAAAGCCTAATTCCCATGCATATTGCAGAAACAGATTCAGTGTCCATTACAAACATCATTATTATCATTGAAAAATATATTATACGCTTAATAGTATGTTATATATGCAGACAGAAGTCCAGATTCACTCACCCCCCCACTTTAAAGACTATGTAAGATATTCGTACATTCATAGACACACAGATATACATACATAGACACAAAAAATATGCATAAACACACATTCTCGTGTGCACACACAGACACACAGACACACACAAACAGGAAAAAATAATAAATACAAAAGAGAAACAACAAACCAGTGGGACCTGGCTTCACATTTAATGAAATAATTTTGTTTTCCTGTTTTTCTGAGTCTTCAATAAAGTGCTTCGAGTTTTTTAAAAAAATTCAAAAAATTCTTTTTAAATATTCAAATGCAATTGTTGAAATTATAAGAATTTTTATGAGATAAGTGTACATGTTCTAATTAAAATTACAAATTTGTTGGCAGAGGTTAAACAATACATAAAGGGGAAGATGTCTTATAATGTTAAAAAAAAACATTTTTGGGCAGCACATAGAGTAGAAAGAACAACAGAATGGGAATTAGAGGACATGGGTTTCAGATCTGAGCTGTAACCACACTGTCATAACACCCTGAAAAAGTGACTTAGCTTCTCCAATATTTAGTATCCGCATCTTAAAATAAAAAGAAATAATATCTATCCTGCCAATGTGCTCTATAACTTGCAAAGGATGCATAATCTATTATTATTATTACTGTTCTTTACTATTACTATTAAAATATCAATTCCAATCAATGAATATTTCAAAGTGCTGGGTATGTTCCTATTTTAGGAGGCAGGAAACAGTCTATTAGATCTGCTGTGTCTTTGGACAATTTGATAAGCATGTCATCTATACCTTTATTCAAGTTTCATAAGTATGTACCTTGTGATTTCGATGTTCCTTTCACAATATATGTGAAAAGATTTGTTTACCTCCTGGTGAATACAGAAGATTCACTACTGCTTGCTAAAGGATATATTCATGCATATACACAAATGTGTATATATACATTTGTGTCTCTGTGTGTGTGTGTGTGTGTGTGTGTATGTGTGTGTGTACATATGGCTAGGAAGCCATCTTTGGTGGAGATACCACATAGCTAACCCAATCTGGGGAACTGCCAGACCATCATCCCAATTTGGATACAGATTTGGAGGACTGTAGCAGCCCAATACCATCTCCAGAGAACTGTAAAGAATATTCTCTAATAAATCTCTATGGGGGTAGGAAAATGATTTCTTTATTGTGAACATAAACACCAAAAAAATAGAGCATTTCCATATTACAGAACATAAAAGATGATACTATATTAAACTGTGAATCTCCATTTCATATTGCTTGCTTAAAAAAAAGTATGAGAAATTCCACACATTACTTTCAAAACTATCCTGCTTGGCATCATCATCTTCCCAGTGACCCAAGCTCATACAGTGTCATTCTGCTCACTCTTTCTCACTCTCTATATACAATCAGTTACCAAGTACTACTGACTTTTCCTTCATATTATCTCTTGCATATGCCCCATTCTCCCCTCTGGCACTGCCACTACACTATGACCCTCATCACCTCACACCTGGACTATTACAATAGCCTACTGGTTGGTCTCCCTGCTTCAGGTTTCTCCCCAATCCAGTCCATCTTTCACTCAGCTGTCAAAGTGACCTTCCTAAAATGCAAGCCAGACCATGTCAATCCCTTATTCAACAGACTCCAGTAGCTCCTTACAACCTCCAGAAAAAATATAAAATTATTTTATTTGGCATTCAAAGCCTTTCACAACCTGACCTGTCTTCCTACATTTCCAGTTTTCTTACATTTTACTTCCTTCCACATACTATGCAGTCCAGTGGCACCCTAGCCTGTGTGCCATTACTCAAATAAGATATCCCATCTCCCAACAATATGCCTTTTTACTAGGTGACCCACCTGCTTGGAATTCTTTCCCTCATTTGTCGCCACTTCCTGGCGTCCTTCAAGGTTCAGCTAAAATCTCACTTTCTAAAAGAAGCCTTTCCCATTCTCCTTAAAGCTAGTACCTTCCCTCTGTGATTATCTCTAATTTATAGCTAGCATTTATCCTGTATATATCTTGTTTGTATATAGTTGTTTGCATGTTGATTAACTGATTAAAATAATGTTTCTTGCAGCATTGGGACACATAATGAAATCAGTTCTGCCAACTCCTTTATTTGCTTTTCTGAGGAGAACTTGTGAGCTCTCCTATTTACTAATATAAGTACTCTATTTGGGAACTACTCCTTTAAATTATGTGTAGCAATTTAGCTGCAAATTCCCATTTCATTTAGGGTGAGCATGTCAGTACTGATTTCAGCTTCTCCAACTCATTCATCATTGAACAAAGATCTCACATTGTGAATACCAAGAACTAGACTAATGTTTTCAGATGCTCTAAAACTATGTGCTTCTTAATCCCCACTATCCTTCTCTTTGGCTCCTCTACTACCATCCAGGCAGAGGCAGAAGAGCAGATCCATAATTCTGAATGATGTTTGTATTCTACCTAGTTTCATGGGGTGCTGTGGACAAAGAATTGATCAATTGCCTTTCAACCAGCTGGTCATGAGTTTCTTCATTTCTGAGGCAGGTGTCAGTCAGCAAAAGTATAGCCTGTCAACAGGATTCCACTTGAAACATTTCTGACTCAGACAAACCTAATATGCAATTTCAATTCAATTCAATAAATATTTATTAAGTGCCTACTATGTGCCAGCAACTGTGCTAAGCTCCAGAGATACCAATAAGAAAAATTCCCCGTCCTCAAGGAGCTTAATGGGGAAGTCAACACACAAAAGGAAAACTGAGAAGCAAGAAGCAGCAGCAGCTAAGGGTGTGTTTGAGAAAGTGAGGAATATCAAAACTTGGGAACCGTTCTTCTTGGTGATGAGACACTAGAGACTGCGTCCCCCAAGCACAGCCTTTAAAAAAACCTAGGGTCACCTCCTTTACCACTGGAGGAGGTAAAACCACAGCAGTGAGCAAAAGGAGGCAGAGCTATGGTGGAAAGTGAGAGTGACAGGGAGGAGCAAACCCTAACTTCCCCCTTCCTGGCAGTGAAAGGGAGCACAGTGAGTTAGAGACTATACAGGTCAGGCCAGGGGAGGGAGGTAATTCACTGAGGAACTGGTTGCTTGACTTTAAAAAAGTTTGTATAATGATTCTTTCTGTAGACATCACGTTGCAAATAAAATTATTATGCTTTGAAGCCTGTAAAGCTGAGCGCACTTAAACAAGAGCTAGTGGATACCCCAGGAAAGATCGGACAGTGATTTTCCCAAAGCTTAGCTGGGTGGAAGCAAAGGGAACAGATAACAGGTTTCCAGTGGGTTGATTCTCTTTGAGTCGAGAAAGAGACTTTGACCCAAGGACTACATTTTGGAGTAAGACTTTAGAAGAGGCAACAATTAATATTATAAAATAAAATAACTATAATTATATGTAATTATATATAATATATAATTATAAATATATAAATATAAAAACATAACATATAAATATAAATAAATATAATATAATTATAAAATAAAATAACTATAATAACTATAAATATTTAGAAAGTCATAAGTCATCATAAACTGGTTTACTGACTAACGTTAAAACTGAAACTTACATAACACTTTATGGTTTACCGACTTACTCACAATAGCTCTGAGAGGCAGTATTTATCTTTCTAGATTCTTATCTCCATTTTACTGGTTAAGGAAATACTTTCAGAGGGATTGACAGTAATCATCTGAGCATTTCAACTCAGGAAATCTAAGCCCCATTTTTTCCATTTTTGTGTCTTTATCATTTTAAAGCAGAAAACTTTGAAAAGCTGCTAAAACTATGTCAAAAGTTACAAAAAATATAGTTTCACTATCATTTAAGCATAAATGATATCTTTATATCAAGTTTTATCATCTATAAAATGGGATAATAATATCATCTCCCATGAAAGGTTGTTGTAAGGATCAAATGAGAAATGTGTAAAAAAATTTTCATAGTGCCTGGCAAATAGGAGACACTATATAAATGCTTATTACCTTACTCCCTTATACAAATAAACTAACTGAATTCCATATAACAAGAAATCTTTGAGTAACCACTGTATTTATATGCCAGTACTATGTAATTGGATTCTGTAGTGAATAATTAAATGTAGTCAAATAATCAGATTTTTCACCTATTTGATAGAAAATTATGAGCCTGACTTGACATATACTTTTCAAATATGTTATGTGTTTGATCTTGAATATTTCTAACAACTTTACAGTCAGGAATGACTTATACCTCCTGGGAAAATTGCTCTGTTTAACATATTTCACATTACGGTCCAAGGGAGTGTTAGGCAGCTGTTTATTTCCTAACAGGAAATCTATCCTAAATTGCTAAATAAACAGTCACTGTATTTTGGGCACTTAAGTTATACTTGCAACCAAAGAAATGAAACTTCTGAAAAATCTTCCTCAAAGTAGACAGTATGTCTCACTTTAATAAAGGAGTATATGGTATTATAAGCTCTCACAAAACAATGATGTATACAACTAGACAAATAGTGGAAGTTTGAATATGATTACATAATTGTTATTTCAGATCAGAAGGAGAAGTAAAGGGAAAGAAATGCCAGAAGTTACTCCCTAAAACAAAGTCCCTTTTGGAAAATGAAAATACAAAATTTGGTGGATAGGATATTCCTGGTTAAAAAGGAATTTTGGTGGTCTCAAATAATAGAAATATAATGTCCATAAGGAAGAAACTTTTATAATGAAATAAGGACTGTGAAAACTACACTAAAGAAATGGAATCATCAATAAGCTGCCAAATGGCAGACTAAAATGATGAAATGGTGAAATAACAATGTAAGATAAATGTGTACATAAAAAGAAACCTCTTGGAAATAGGGCAACAAGACTAAAATCAATCAAATGGTTACTCGGGAAGTTTCTACAGTATCTTCTGACTAATGAAAGATAGGCAAAGTCATTTTTTACTTGTGTCCAACTCTTCGTGACCCCATTTGGGGTCTTTCTGGCAAAGATACCGGAGTGGTCTGTCATTTTACAGATGAAAAAACTGAGGCAAACAGGCTTAAGTGACTTGCCCAGGCTTACATAGCTACTAAGTGTCTAAAGCCAGATTTGAAATCAAGAAGATGAGTCTTCCTGACTCCAGGCCTGGCCCTCTATCCACTGGACCACCTAGTACATGTTTATAAAAGTGATTAATATATTATAGTATGAATCCAAATAAAGCCACTAGTCATTAATGAATTTAATAATAATAATAATAATGATGATGATAGCACTAATAACTCTAGGAGTACCAGATAAGTGACTGAAAATTAGAAAGAGTTGAGGATTTCAGGGATGATAGTATTGGTATGAGGGTTGAAAGCATAGTCAGAGATTGAAGGGAGGACAATATTAAACGACAATATATGAACAATTTCAGTATTTGGTAAACAAAGCAAAAGTTTCTACCTTGTAGTCAAAATCAATAATGGGTCATTGAGATTGCCCAGTGGGACTACTAGAACCATACAGAGATTTGTTACCAATTTAAAAAGAGGATCAAGGGTACATAGAGTGTTTTTCCATCTGCTAGGCTTCCCCTAGAAAGAGAATGGGTAACAGATTGTTGTGAGATAACTGTACAGGAATCGTAGGAGAGAAGTCAAGGGGGAAGAATTTTAGAGAAAGAGACAAAATAAGGCAGAATAAACTGACCCATGAAGACAAAAAAGGCAAGGAGGATGGAGCAATGAAATACAACATCTCCATAAGCAGGAAGAATTTAAGCAATGGGGAAAAGACTCAATTCAAAAAACTTTTTTTAATACGTGCAGAGTATTGTGCTAGGTACTGGAACTGATGCAAAGTTTAGGTGAGACACCGTCAGAGAACTTGCACTGTATTAAAGAGATGATGCACACACAAATAACTATAATATGCAGAGATGTATGATAATTGTAATAATGAAGCATAAAATAAAATATTATTAGGTCTGAGGGTTAAGAATCATTCACTGCCAACAGGGAAGCTTTTTGCAAGAGATGGAATTTGACATACTGTTTAGAAGATGGGTAGGAATTCATTAGGAAAGAGGGAGAGAAAAGATATCCTAGGCAAAGGGTATGGCATGAACAAAAGCAAAAATATGGGAAAGTGCAAAGCACTCTCTGTGGATGGAGAGTTGACCAGATTTGCTAGAGCACGGAAGGAGCTAAGGAAGGAAATGAGAAAAGTCTGCAAAGGCTAGCTGGGACCAGACTGTGGAAGCTTTGAATGCCAGACAAATAAATTTGAAATGTACTCAGCAAGAAATACAGAGCTATTGAAGATTTTAGACCAAAAGAGTGACATAAGGAAGATTACTGTGGTAATGGTATGAATGCCAGATTGTGGGGTAAGAGTAGGGAGAGGGAGACAGAGTAGATAGGTGTTGATTTGTTTAATTTGACTGTACTGAAAACGGAAGGTTCTAATGTAGTGTAGGGGAATATATCTGAGAAATGACAATCACATATTTATGTGTATACATCTACATGTGTAGATGTATATATAATGTATACACACACATATATAATTGGAGCAACAAAACCTTTAAGAAGGAAAAACAGAAGAGGCAGATTGAACAAGTTTATATTGAGTATTAAAACTCTGAATGACCAGGGGGCTGACTAGTGATGAATACCAAGAACAATAATGAAAAAGGACATTTAAAAATTATGTTCTGTGCAAGGAGGTCCATGTTGGAATGGAATGCTGGCTATGCACTTAGAACAGAAAGAGGACAGGATTACTCAGCTTATATTTTGTTTTGATATTCCCAGCCAAGGAAAATGGCCTTTGGTTTGGAAAGCTAGAGTGAAAATGGATAAGATGAAATAGAAATCCAAGAAAAAATGAGGAGATGACAAGAGATTACCAAGTTACTGGGCCCAAATGAATTATATCCCAGCCTACTGAAAGAACTGACAGATAACAATTGCTCAGTGATCTTAGACTGAGGACTGAGGAAGGATGGTCATGGGACTGGAGAGGAACAATATCCCAGAGGGTTTTTTTTTTTAAATAAAAAAGGAATTGGCTACAATCTGCAAATTACAAGCCAATGATACTGACTTTGATAGTTGGCAAAATTCTAGAACATATTGTTAAAAGTATGGTTTGTGAACCTCTAGAAAGGAAAGTAGTAAATACTGTGCCAACTAGCTGCCCTAAATAATACAAATTGCATACAATAAATGCTATCTGCAAATATATTAGGGAAACTAGATGGTGCAGTAGATAAAGTGCTGGGCCTGGAGTTAGGCCCACATTTTCCTAAGTTCAAATCTGACCTCAGACACTAACTGTGTGACCTTGGGCAAGTCACTTAATGCTGTTTACCTCCGTTTCCTTCTCTGTAAAATGAGCTGGAGAAGAAAATGGCAAACCACTCCAGTGTCTTTGCCAAGAAAAACCCAAATGGAATCACAAAGAGTTGGACAAACTGAAAATGACTGAAAAACAATAACAAAAAAGTATATTTCAAGCATAAATAAAAATATAGTACACCTACCTCTTCATTTAATTATTGCTATGATGTTTTATTTTACCATTTGTTAATTTTGTATGTATACATATCTATTTGCAAGCCTGTCTTAGATTTTAAGGGCAGGATTCAGGTGTCTATGGCACAGTTTGGAGAAAATAGGCCCTTCATGTAAGCTTTTTGGTGAAGACGGTGACCTTGTAAGTATAAGGTAAAGTAGACAGACCCAAGTAGAAATAATTCAAAGCACTTAAGAGGAACTAGCAGGTTTTCAGAGATCAAAAAAGTGTAATATCTCCTGCCTAATGACATGTGACTAAGGTGAGTTAGTATCCTCTTCTTGCATCATTACTTATTATTGATAAGTACAATACTATATTTGGATAGAGCTGACATGGCTTATTCTGTAATTCAGATCCACATAATCACTTACCTTTGTGGTATAACAGAAGATATATATTACTACCACATGATAAAATGCCATTTATTTTGGTAAAACCAAAATGCACAGTATTTAATAGCAAAGTTAACTTTTAGATAATTAGTCCATATGCCTTCTATCTATGGCCATGTCTTGGATTTTTCAGATTGTAATTTACCTTATCTTTGATTTTGTCAGCTCTGGCATCCAAAAGCGGATTTTTCATTTGATCCTGATTACATTTGCGACTTCCTCCTCCTGGAGTCATAGCTTTTGTTTGTCCAGTGGAACTTGAAGCTGTAGAGGCTAATACAGATGTACTGATGCCAGATACAGGTGATGGACTGTTTCCATTTACTGACCCATTTACACCTTGAAAAAAAAAATAAGAATCTCAAAAAACAATTGTGGAAATATTTTTCCTTTTCGAAAAAAGTTAGGCTATGAAATCTTTCACTATTTACAGGAAAGAAAATTTGTCAAAAACCATTTTAAGCCTTAAGAAAACTTCCATACAAAACTGACAATAATTTCCAAAATATCAAAAAGTAACAGACAAATGTAGTCCTCTGAAATGCTATTGTTAATATTAGTGATTAGAGATGAGAGAAGGAGTTTGTAGACCCTAATCAAGGTTTTAAAACTGTTGAAGAGAGGCTGAGAGTTTCTGCTGTAGCACATGTGGCTTCCCTTTTTTGACCCAAACCTGTGATTTCACTGAGAAAACTCTCTCTACCAAATGCACCTGCTCTGCAATTTATAATCTTAGGAGAGTTGCCTAGGAGCATTGAGAGATAAATGACCTGCCCAAGGTTGCAAAGTCAGTATGTGTCAGAGTCAGAACTTAAATTCAGGTTTTTCTGATGCTGGGTCTCCAAGCACTATGTCATGTTGTCTGAACATGACTTACCACAAAATAAATATTTACACGGATGATGAAAATAATTTTCTGGCATACAAAGTGCATTTAAAATGATATTAAAAAAAAGTCCTTCCTTGAACTTGTTGAATGTTGTGCACTTCCTCCTTTTGTAGACCCCCATGTCTGGCTCTTTGAGTGAATCTTAATTACATCAGAACTGACAGGTTAGTTATGATTACTTATGATGATTACTTAATCCCATAGCATAATGAACCATATTTCATTAGGCTGTCCACACAAAGAATTTTGTTTATTTTCTTTCAAGTGAACATTACTGAACAGGCAATCATAAAAGGCATCACTTTTATTCATCAAACTAAAGAAATTAAACCTCAACTAAACTTAAGCACAATATATATACAATACAAAATTCATACTTTAGAGCTAAATATCATATTGCGAGATTAAATTAAAATACAAAGTAACTTTTCAGGGAGGCATTAGTATGCGCCTGAGAGCACCCTCCACACATGACAATGCTTGAGAATAAAACTCAAAAATACCATTGAAAACTGCTATGACAGGAAAGGGTCTGAAATATTGTTTTAGCATTTTTGTATTGTTACCTTTTTCTAGACCACTTCGATTATTTTTTCCTGTATTCCTTGAATGGAATGAAGATGAATCATGATTCTGAGCTGAAGAAGCAAACAGTGGCGGAATCCCCAGGAGTGGTGAAAAGAAAGTTGCCCCTGATCGAGCATGTACATCTGCTGTTCTCCACCATTCTGCACCTCAAATAAACACACATATGTATTATTTCTGCAATTAAAGTCATGCTAGAACAACATCTAAAAAAAGAATTGAGTGCATTTTCAAAACGAAATTTTTGTATTGAGCTCTACCTCTTTTAGTTCTGACAAACTTAGTTACTGAAAAAGAAAACAAATGAAACATAAGACACACCAGGTGATCATACAAATTATGGCTTGTGCTTTTGATTTTACTCTTCTGAACTTAGACAATATCATATCAAGCTCTTCACTAATATGTGTATCAGCAGCTTCTCACAGACTGAGAATTTGAAGAGAAGTGTTTCAGGTTTTAAAAACAACATGGAAAACCTGAAATATGTAGTAATTATTCTATTCTCTAATGACTTTTCAAAAAAGTAAAAAGATTAAAATGTTTGGTACTACATTTGCCTCTTTTTTACTCCAAAATTTATGGTCAGATTCACATAAAACACAAAGAAGCCTCCCAAGTTAGGCAGAATGTGAACCTGAACCATTGTAGTTCAAATGGTATAAATAATATTCATAGAAATATTAATTATGTCTTCTTGAAATAATTTCAGAATGCAAATGTTTTACAACAATTTAATATATATACATTACGTACATGTATGTACATGAATACTCCCACACCCATCCACTCACAAAGCCCAAAGAAGCCTTTTAATGTCATTGTAAAGGAATGGAACTGTTAAAGGTAATTTTCTTAAATTACATATCTTTAATACCACCTTATGAGTCTCTCCATAAAAGTTAATAAGAAAAGCCTGGATTTTTTCCTACATCTCCTAACAAATATTAGAAAACAATTACTGTCTATCAAACTAAAACGTTGAAATCAATAGCTCAACAGCTAGAATTTAACTCTTTAAATAGCTCCTCTTAGAAGATCTGTGAAATCTTTGGACAACAGACAAGTGGTTTTTTTAATTGTATTTTCAGAGTGGTGACTGAAGTAGTTTCATAGCTCAAGGCTCTTTAGACAAAAAGAGAAACACTACTAATGAAGAAGAAAAACAGGAGTTTTATAAAAATATCAATACGCACAGAAAACTCACCAAACAACTTTTTAATGATGTGTGCAGAAGATGGAAGAGCAGATAACAGAATTATGTACAGAAGCTTGGGAAGGTAATATAAGAAAGGTGTCAGAATGCTAAAAGCTCAAAATGAGATGAAGCTAGCAAGGAAAATTAATACCAACAAAGAGGGTTGTTTTTAAAGTTATTATGAGAAAAGTATCAAAGAAGGGATGGGATTGTTGCTCAAAGTTTGTAGGAAGACAATACTTGATGACAATTAAATTGTTCAACACTTGTTTTATTTTATTTCTGTTTTCTCTGCCAAGGAGAACATTCTTTGAAAGACGAAACAAAAGTGGCTATTTGGGATCAGCTAACCAAAAGAAGTAAAGAGATCGTAGCCGAGCCTGATGAATTTAAATCCTCTGGCCTAGGTGAATTACATCCTTACCCACTGATAGAATTGGTGAATGTGAACAGGAGAAGTGCTGTAGGGTTGGAGAAGAGTAAAGAAAATGGAATCTGTGAACTACAGGTCAGTGAGATTGACTTCAATTCCTATAAAAAGTTCTAAAATGTATTATTAACAAAATGGTTATTGAACTCCCAAGAAAATTGTGATCACAAAGCACCAGCATGATGAATAAGTCATGCCACAGTAACTTAAATTCCTTTTTTGACATATGTGTTGCTGATGTACATTACCTTTTTTTTTTTTTGCAGGATGACTAAACTGGTAGGTAGATTAGGAGAATACTGTAGATGCTGAATGTCTACCTAGATTTTAGCAAAACTATCACATGATATTCTTGTTGGAAAAAATGTGGACTAGAAAATACCACAATTAGATGGATTCAGAACTGGCCAGAATTGAAGATTAATCATGAATGGTTCAAAGTTAAATTGGAAGGATGCCCTATGGATATGCTCTTACCTCTAGGCTGCTTAATATTTTTTATCAATGACTGAATAAAGGGACAATGGTATTCTTATGAAATTTTCAGGTGACACAAAGATGGAGGGAAAGCTAATACAACTGGGTAACGGTTAGTGTCCAAAAACATCTTGAAAGACTAGAACATTAAGGCTGAATTTAATAAGATGAAATTTAATAGGGATAATTGTAAAATCTAGCATCTGGATTAAAACAAATTACCATCACAAGCACAATACAGATTAGGTATGGCTAAGTAGCAGTTTGTTTGAACAAGATTTGAGATTTAAATTGACTGTAGACTCACTGAGACACCAGTGCTATCTATAGGGCAATGATAAAAAGTTAATATAATCTTGGATGGAAATAAAGGGGCCCTCCCCCTTGCGGAAGTCAGGAATTGGTAGTCCCACAGTACTCACCCCTGTTTAGACCACTTCTGGAATTTTAGGTTCAGTTCTGGATACCAAAGTTTAAGAAGAACAATGATAAGCAAAAGAAAATTGAGACCAGGGCAACAAAAATGGCATTTATCCATATGCAGATTGGCAAAAGGAATGGGATATATTTAGCCCAAAGAAGAAATTATGAAAAACAGGATAGACATCCTTGAGTATTTTAAAGACTATCATGTGAAAGATGGATATAAACTTATTTTGTTCATCCATAGAAGGCAGACATAGCAGTAATGAGTAGAAGTGCAAATATGTAAATGTAGGCTTGACGCAAGGAAAAACTTCCTAAAGATGAAAGCTATCCAACAGTAAAATTGGGATGCCTCAGTGAGTCCCCCTTTAACTAAAGGTCTTTCGGACAGAGACAAGATAACTATTTATCCAGGTTTATCATGGGGGGGTGGTTTTTCAAGTATCAGAATAAATGCTACTTCCAACTCTGAAATTCTATTTTTCTGTGATAAAATGGTTTGAAAATAATAGCAAAGAAATCAACTAAATCTCTTTCCAAAATCTCCTTGGAAAAAAAATTTCTCCTTATTTGGATAAAACTATTACACCATCAAAACACTGGTTTGTTGCCTAATATTGCAAATAAAAGTGATCTCTCCATTGTTAGTAAACTATAGAAATTATTGAAGAATATAATAATGTTAAAAACATATTGATGAGATATACTATATGTTATAACAGCTTTTTTTTTGGTCTAAAATTCTAGGTATAGAGTATCCCTATGAAAGAACATATAAAAAGAAACCAAAGTTTACCTGTTTTTTAAATGTAAGAATCAGAAAGCTTATTAAAGATTAAATAAATTGTTAACTACAATTGCCACTTTGAAATGACTTTTTATGAGCTTAAATTGAGTCCAACTTTTTTCCCTCACATATCATAGGACAACTTCTCTCTTTAAATGATGCTAATATAAAATCAACAGTATATAGACATGGAAACTGAACCAAAAATCTCTTTTTATGGCATAACCCTGTCTAATTGAAGTAAGACTGTTCAGAAATAAAGGGAAAATGTGTGTTAGATTAACATAGAGAGATTTCATTTTCTTTCTGTTTCTCATTCAGATAAAGATGTGGTCTTCAGGAGAAAATCTACTGCAATGATTGGGGCTACTATTCTTTATTTTGATCATTAGATGCATTTATGACTTCATCAGTATAATTATTCTCTCCACTAATGAAAATTTCAAGCCCTGAATACATTTGCACCCCGTGATTCTTTTTCTATAAACCCTCCATAAAAGTTTTATATAAAATGCTTAAAATTTTCCTTTAGTTATTTTTATGGGTTAGCAAAATAGGAAAATAAGATGATGATTTTTTTTTTTTTTTTTGATGAGCACAGTTGGGGTTAAGTGACTTGCCCAGTGTCATACAGCTAGTGAGTGTTACATGTCTGAGGCCGGATTTGAACTCAGGTCCTCCTGACTCCAGGGCTGGTGCTCTGTCCACTTTGCCATCTACCTGCCCCAAAATGATGATTTTTAAAGCTGGCCGCATCCTTAAAGGACATCTAATCCAATCCCTCATAATATAAATGAAAAAAATGAGAGTGAGAGACATTAAATGGTTTTCCCATTCCCGACAGGTAGCAGTTGCAGAGGTAGAATTTGAATCTATGTTTTCTAAACTCTAAATCCAATGTAGTAGCATGTATACTATTCCTATACAGTCTGTTATTTCCACTACATAACTAGCCTATCTCTCTTTAGTCTTTTATGTCAGCTCACATCTACATGTCATTGACGGCAATATTTATACAGTCTAGTTATGCCCACCATACATCTGAACATTGTTTTTAGGGTTACTTAAAATTTTGATTCTTCTCAGTGTTGTGGTGTTCGATGATTTTTAATCATATTGCATCACTACTATGCTGGTGTTAAATAGGCTTCTGCAGTGATGCAATGTTTGGGATCAACAGAAACAAGATAGTTTCCCAGATGAGACTGATCTAGATCTCCTCTGCCTGCTCAATTGTGAGCCCAGCTCATTCATCTGCAGTGCCTGTCAATGATGTGTAGACAGGTGAATAGGTAGACAGAGAAACCTGATTCACTGCCCATCTAATTTCTTTACATGGTCTTGGCAATATGTATTTTGAATGTACTTTCCCCCTCTATTGTGGATGATTAAGCATTTCTTCATTTCTTGCAATGCTGCATATTTCAGTGAAGTAGCGTTGTAGTGTTCTGGAGTCCAAAGAAACCAAAACAATATTATCTGAGAACAGAAGCACTTGGAGAAGCTTGCAGTCAACCAGTAATCCTTTTTTTGTTTAGAATCAACAGAGAACATCTGTGACACAGGTGAATCATTTAGGTGAGCACATGTCAGTTTGACATCTCAATTTTATTTCAGTATTCAAGGGTTCACTGAATAATTATTTCTTATTTGTCAAGGGATCTTGTATAATTTCAACATATGTGTGATATACCTTGTTTTAGGAGAAATTTCAGGGCTGCATTTTGGTCTGAGTTAAATGCTTTTCCAAAATCAACAATTAACATAGAGAGATTTCATTTTCTTTCTGTTTCTCAGTCAGATAAAGATGTGGTCTTCAGGAGAAAATCTACTGCTTTCTTCTCATGTTTTCAACACAGGTGCTTGTGATGTGTGTATAGAATGGTTTCATAAAATGCATCAAGATGAAAACGTAGACATATGGGTGCCAATTGTTTGTAAATCTACATAATTTTTTGTTTATAAAATGAAAATTGAATAATATAAATACTTTTTAGAAATATTCACTTCTGATCAGGTGTTTTGAGTCTAATTTTAAAGTAGCTGCTGCTGATTTTTCAATTTTGTTTCTGTTTGTTTATTTTTGGTAAAAGCATTGTCTATCATTTTCTCTACTATTCTGGCATTTTCCCCTCATTTGAAATATTCTCAGTTATGATCCCTGCGTGACTTTAACATCATGCCACCTCTTATACAGATTCCTTTTCTATTTACCTAAGTTTCCTTGCACCTTCTGACTTAATTTCCTTAAGTGGCACTTCCTTTCCTAGTACAAAGGTAGTAGAGTACAAATGGCAACTGTGGTTGCCCATGAAAAGAAGTTGCTAAAAAGAATCTTTCCTCTTTTCTGTCTCCTTATGATCTTCAGGTTTCTTATGATCTTATAGGTTTCAGCTATAAATTCTTAAGATAATTTGGCCTGACTGGATCTCATAACAACTGTTCTGCAGGTTCATTTTCTTAACTGCTTTTGGCCATTTTGTGAGATGATATTGCTCACAGTCTTCTGACATCCTTCTTTAAAATGTTTTGCAAATGAGATTGTACTCTAAATCCAGTGTTACCCTGGGCTTCCATGTCTCCTGGCTTAGCCAGATTCAGTATCTCCTGGATGAGGTCACTCTAGAGTTCTTTTGGCCACGGATGTGGCAATTGTATTTTACCAGTTAACCTTCCCTATGAAATAGTGTTGAATTAAATATTTCTACTTCTGTCTCTTTCTTATTTCTTGAAGGTGAGAGCTTGTTTTTAACAAATTATTTTGGACTATGAATTATGTATTTAAAATTAGGCTCAAAACAGCTGATGAGGAAGAATTAACTTTACAGAAATCACTTAGTGAATAGAGTTTAAATACAAAACATAAAAGACCACTCTAGAAAAAAAATATATATATACACACATACACACACATACATATGTCATCATCAGCAGCAGCAGCAGCACCAATATCACTACCATAACTTTGGTGTTGAATTTGAAATTTCTAGTAGGACTTAAGTAATTTAAATACAAGAAAAGCCAAAGGAATAATAAAAAAGAAAATTTGGCAAATCCAAATGTTGATGTTACATTATGCCAAGAAGAGATAAGTAAAAGCAAAGAAAGATATATATCCAACAAACATTGGTTTAAGTTGATACCACTTGATGGTGAAAATTTGTTTTACCTAATAACAAAGCTCTCAAGATATAACCCATAGTAATATTCATGTTTAAAAAATTATATAGATCCCTAGAAAAATTCCTCCATTATATATTGTGTGAAATATATTCAAGTCAATCATTTTGTTGAAATTTTCACATGAAACATGGGAAGTGAAGGAACTTTTAAAACTATCACAAAATAGTCTACTAATAAAGTAATAACTACATACAATAAATATTTCAAGAATAAACTTGCTAATAGATTTTAAACTATGTACATGGGCAGCATCAGTATAATTTCACTGTTAACTTTGGTAGTAATCACTAACATGGAGCACAATGTTAGAAAAAGTCCACTTGAAAATTAACTGTTTCCATTTAAACTTCCTAAAAATTTCTTGTTTGTATTTTGACACTGTTTACCCTCACCTGTTAAAAATTTTTCAAAAGTGGGACATTTTGGCTAACTTCTCACATCAGCCTAATCTTATTTATTTTAAATCACTACAACAAATCTTTAATGTGACACGGGGTCTAAAAAGTGATAGACCATTTGATAGGAGAGTATTCTAGAAAGTTCTTGAAATTGTGCTCAAGAAATATCATCCTAAAATCACAGGGCAAGGAAAATCTTATGATGGATACAATAAGCATAATTCTACTACAAAGGTTATGATTTTAATAGTACCGAGAGAACACTAAGGTTTAGGCATGCTGATGTCATGCCCAAAATGAAAACCTGGCCATTAATCAAGTCAAATAACAAATTTAAGATTTCAAATACTTTCACTACTACTATCTTGATTTTTTGGGAAGGGTCTTGTAAGATAAATGCAGTGTTATTGGCAGATCTTAATTTTTATTAATTCTAATTTTCCAAAGTGATTTTTTACATCAAATTCTAAAATCTAGCATTCTGGAGTGAAACAATCTTGATTCATCGCAGAAAAGAGTAGGAAACACACATTTCAACCCTCTGTCCTTCATGTATGTTTTGAGAGAGGTATTTCTTTCCTAAGATTAAAACAGTTGACAGTTTATAAATCATCCCTATGAGAAGGAACAAACATTGGTGGAAGAGCTAGAATAAAATTCAGACAGCCTTGTGCACACAAAATCCAACTCATACCTATAAAATTTTGATTAAAACATAGGATCACAGATATAGAATGGGAAGAAAACTCAGAGGTCATTTCATCTAACCTCATTTTGCAAATGAGGAAACTAAAGCCCAGAGAGGTTATATGCTCATTAGAACAACATGGTTTGGATTTGAAAGGATAAAAAAAGAAAAGTACAAGTAAATTACAAGAAATAACAGCTCTCCAAACTGGAAAAATAATGTATTCCTGCAATGAAATTTTGTTAAGCACTTTGGAATAGCACAGATGCAAGCAAAACAGGTGAAGAGAGGTATAGATTCAATCAAGCCAATCTCAGAAAAATCTAGTCAGAGCTAGAGACTTTCAGAGTTAGAATAGACCCAAGAGGCAAATAATCTTCTTTCCTAAACATAAAAGAAATAAGTGCCCCAAAGAGAAAAATATATTCATTATGAGAATTGGGCTTTGGCTTCCAGCTAAAGCATTTAGAAAAATCCATATTTTTTAAATGGAGTACTTTTAAATGAAAAACAAACAAAGAAAAAAAAAGCACACAACCTATGTCAGCTTGGCTTATTCCCAGTCTTTTAGTACAACTGTGTATTTCTCTAGTTTTAACCACTTCAGTAGCCACTGAAGGGGCCTGTTTCCTGCTCCTGAACATGAAAGATAGGAATCAGGCATATTCTACATACTGTTTACTGCCAAAAGATAGACACTTTTCCCCCCAGCACACCAAGTGTTAGTCTAATCTTTCTTTCTTTGACTTCTTGATAAAAATAATTATTAATCAAATGCCTATTAGGACTAGGACATTTCAATTGTTCCTTCTTTAGTTGAATACTCTTTGTAACAGATGTTTACCTGGAAAAGGTGCTAGTTGGGGATGTGCTGCTAAGGCTGTAGGGGTACCAAGTGTCCCCAAACCACCAAATTCTGAATGCCCTGAGCTGGCTGTATGTAGACCAAAGACTGGGTGGCTGACCATTGGGAAGGCACTCGACACTGTGGACAGGTTAAACGGTTGATCCCCAGCTGCTCTGAATAAATGTCCTGAGGGGGAAAAAAAAAACACTTAAAATTGTACTACCAAAACAGATGTTGTTTATGTGATTTCAACCCTCATGTTTGGATAAATGTTATGATTTTACTGTTTCCAAAATATAGTTTACATTTTTCTATTGCATTTCAGTTATTAAAAGACTAGAGAAAACAAAGTGTTTCTAAACACATGAAATAATATCCTAAAAAGAATTAATAAAAATGGATGTTACATTTTTTCTTATTTTTGGTGCTTTGAGACCTGAGAAGATGTTTAATTTGGGGAAATAGTTCTTGCTAATGAAATTCAATGGCCTGAATAAGTTCAAAACCTGTTTTCTCATAATAAATTTATTCCAGAGTATTAATACATTTTTCGTCATAAGGAAAAATCATTATGGTCATGCTCTCAAAGGAATATAGATTTGGAGTATAAATACACTGACCCAGGATGGAAATTGGTGACACAGGTCATCAATTCATAATCCTGGAATCCATAGTCAAAGAGTCCCCAACCTCCTCATCCATGGTTCAATAGATCTAAGAGAATCTCATGTTCACCACATGGCATTTTTCTCAGCAGTACACAAAAGCTGAGTGTCGAGAAGAAAGGAGGCAAATCAAGTTTCTATCTTTAAAATATGAAGTGTACAACTTGCTTCTGATATATTGAGGAAAAGACCAAAAAATTCTTAACAATTCTAGGAGTTATGAAGAACTCCCCAAAGAAAGAAGTATTCGTGCTTGCCACTGGAATTAGAAAACAACACTTCAGAACCTGGTTATCAGGTTCCATGGACTACTGAAACTCTTCTAATCTTCTCATCCTTTTAAGGATCATAAGATCAAAGATCTCAACCTTGAAGGGACCACAAAGGCTAGTGGTCCAATCCCTTCATTTCAGAAAGAAGAGACTAAGGCAAAGAGAAACTGATCCATTTTTCCAAGGTAACAGGAAATAAGCATCAGAGGAGGGATTTGAACCCAGGTCCTTTGATACAAGAACTCATGATTTTCCTACCATAAACAGGATGAATCGATTTAAATCAGCAAAAACTAATCACATGCTTTAAGTACAAGAAATTATACAGCTAAAAGGGAGTATGTCACCATTAACATATAAAGTGATTTAAGAATTAGCTTCTCTTTGCTTCACCTACCCTCTATATTTTTTTTTATAATCAGGATAAGAATCTGTGGAGTTTAGAGGGAGGTGAGATTTTGTTTAGAAACATGGAGGTTATGGACATGCTCACTGGCCCTTTCTAACGGCATGTCTTTAAGTGTCAGCAATTAGAAATGTATTGATGGGCCTGAACATTGTGGATATATATTAGCTATGATTTAGCTGGATCAGGAAACTATGAGTCACAGCTAGTTATATACTAAAGACAACTCAAACTGGCTTGTAAGAGTCAACTGTTAAATTTTCAGTATGAGCACTTACACCTCAGAAATCATCAAATGTTACAAATTAGGGACTGATTTATTATTTGGCTGATTGTCTAGATGGAAGAAAGTGATAGAAAAAATGTTAATTATGCACATTAAACATAAAAGTTATGTCATGTGCACAGGTTTTTTTTTTTTAATTTTTTGATAGCCAATTGTTAAATATTTACCAGGACATCCCTGGTCACAGCTATCCTATTATGTCAGACCTAAAAAAGAAAGGGACAAATTCTACAATTGTCTCCTCATCACCACCACAGAAGATCCTGAAAGAGCTAAATGCAGAGAGCAGCAGAGATAGATCAAACTTGGGAGAAGGCTGCTGTTCCACCTCACCTCTGGGAACCATAAATAGCAGTGAAAAGCAGTGTCACAAGCTCTCTCAATCACTTTGTCATGGAGCCACAAGGCCAGCCTCCTAGAGGGAGGGATGTGTGATCCTAAATTTGAAAGTTCTAGAACATAGTTTCAGGGATTCCTGAATGTATATGTGGACTGGAAGAAACTCAAAGGCCTGGAGATGGAGAAACATAAGATGTGACTTTACCTCTGCTACTACCATGACTTATTCAAGTGGTATAGATACATCTGATGGAAAGAAAGACATACTCCTTTCTAAAATCAAATTGAGGTTAGCTCATAATGAGGAGAGAAAACAGTTGATTTGTGTTAATGCAATAATTGCTGTTAGATGATACTGAGGAGGTGATAACTGGTCAGTTGATACTAGGGCACTAATCATTGGTTAGATTACATAGACAGAATACATAGGATTGGGTTCTAAGATGAATAGTAGTAGAGATGGCACTTCTAACACCTGATGGGAGCAGTAGTCTTGATCAGGGGGACCTCAATTATTAGTCAGAGTGTGAGTTGGGAGATCAAGCCCAGAGCTTACATGAGATATAATGTGAAAACTGGGTTTTTTAAGTATCAAGTGTCATACATATATAAAGCACAATGATTACCGTTATAAATCAATGCTATAAGAATTGTTAACCTGCCTACTATCTACTTGCTATTTGTAAAATAACTTCATATTTTTTGTACATCCTCCTTAAATACTCTCCCTTTACTAAATAATGGTATGAGCTATTGGTCTCCATACTAATAAAAATACATAGAATTAGGAAAAAGAGTTTCTTAGTTTCTTGCCTGATACATCTTAAGGAATAACCAAGAAAACTAATACACTTGCAGTTTTTTAATTTAAAGTGATGAACCATTCACTTAGGTAATTTTTTGTCCCTTGATGGAATTAGTGAAAGTTTATTTAAGGGAGAAAACTTGCTTGTCCCTACAGGAAGGTAACCTAATTCAGTATGTGTTTTTATTCCATTCAGCACCAGGATTCAGCCTCATAAAGTGAGTATATCAGACAGGTAAGGTAATTACAATTATTCCACGAATGCCGTAAAATGCTACTCTATTTGTTGGAAAATCCTTTAAGAAGTTCCTCCTGCAGACTGTGATAGATCTGTACAACAGATAGCATTATTTAGGACTAGATTACAGATGCTGAGTACAAATCAAATTTTGGTAAAAAAAAAATAACCCCATTGATAAAAATCTAGAAACAGTTTTCTTTACTATAATATAATTAAAATATAATATTGCTAAAAAGAAAAATGTAAGAAATAAATCATTAAAAATAAATACATGTGTCAGCATGAGAATTTATCTAGTCAAGATACCCATCAGAGATGAAAGATACCTTTTTACTAGGTTTGTTTTAAAACCAAGAACCACAAACATACTATCCAGCAGCTACTCCACTAACAACAGCTGAACACTCATCCTTATTTTTAGTTTGAAGAGCTATTATAAAGTGAGTTTTATTGCTACATCTCAAGGGAATATGAATGCATATGTACAGAATTACATTTACTTTTCTTACTTTGTATTCTATAATGAAGTTGCACATATGTGTTAGATCAAACTCAACAAACATTAAAACTAAAACACAATGGGTCAAACATTTCTATCAATCAGACAATATAATTATCTCTTTAGGAGGACAAGAAAACACTCATTAGATCTAATGTCAGATTTATTATCTTTTAAACTCAATTCACATGCCTGCTAGGTCCCCAAATATAATTCTTATTTATGATAGTGCAAAAGTTATTTAGCTCCTTTCTTCTTTAAGCCAGGATCACACTCAAATGAAAGGAAAATTACTTTTTCAACAATGATTTTATAAGAGATCTGTGACATTTTTACTTATTAAAATTCAAGATAGGATAGAAGGGCTACTTAAATTCATTTATGCTTCTGTCACTTGAGTTTCTGATGTGGTAGTAACAATTAAGGGAAAAAAATCTTCTGGTTTTAATACAAAATTGTTGAACCATCCTGAAATCAAAGGTTTATCTTATTTCCAACTTTTTAAAAAAACATTTATATTAACAGCTATTTTCAAATCTACAAAATAGAGTGGTGATCTAAATGCAAGCAACAGTGTAAAGGTGTAAGAGACACAAAGACAAAAATTAAAATCTCTGCTTTTGAGGAGCTTATATTCTGTTGGGTAAGTACATCTTAAGCAGATTCAAAGTAACCTGGAGAGAGACAGAGAATACATTAACAACCAGGTGACTGGGGCACATTGTAAGAGAAAGTGGTACTTGCGCTGATTCTGTGGGGTGGAAATGCATTCCAGGCATTTGTTATATTTGTAGGTAAGAGGTGGAATTTTGCAAGATCATTGGGACATAGATTAAGATCTGAAAGGGACCTCAGATGCTAGCCAGCTCAGTACCCTCATTTTTCAAATGAGTAACCTGATGCCTGGAGAGGTTAAATGACTAGTTTATTGTCCCACAGGACTCTGAGGAACAGATGTAGGATTTGAAGCCAGGCCCTCTGATGCCAAATCTAGTGCTCTTCCTTGTATAATGTTGCCTCTAGGAATAAGCTAGCATTCCAGTTTGGCAAGAAGGTAGAACACATGAAAGAGAGCAAAGTGAAATAAAAGTTAAGTGCCAGATTGTGGAGAACCTTCAAAGCTTCCTAAGGGGCAGCTAGTTGGCCCAATAGGATAGGCAATCAATCAACATTTACTTAGCACCTACTAGGTTCCAGGCACAGCATTAAGTGCTAGGGATACAAAAAGAGGTAAAGATAGCCCCTGCCTTCAAGGAGTTTACAATCTGATGGGGGAAAACAACATGCTAACAAATATACACAAAGCAAGCTATATATAGGATAAATAGGAAATAACCAGCAGAGGGAAGACACTAGATAGGGCACTGGACTTGTAGTCAGAAGACCTGAGTTCAAGGGTGGCCTCACATAGTTATTACAGTGTAACCCTGGATAAGTCACTTAACCTCTATCTCCTTCAGTTTCTCCATCTATTAAAAAAAGGGGGGGGGAAGATAACAGTACTTTTTTCATAGGATTATTGTGACCCTCCCCCCCCAGAATGAGATAATATTTATAAAGCATTTTGCAAACCTTACAGTGCTGCATAAAGGCCAGTTGTTGCTATTTATTATCTAGTTAGCTAGCTAGCTATCTTCTTGTTGTTCTAATTACCTGAGGAGTTTGTAATTTAT